CGTTTATGGCCTAAAATCGCGGATGATTGATACGCTACCCTGGGTACCAGACTCAATATATAAAAAAATAGAGAGTCTGGTCTAGTGCGCCCCATTCTCGTTCTGGTGAACTTACTTAAAAGAACTGAAGTCTATTTAACAGACTAGGCCTGTGAAACAAGACTGTCGGATAAATAACAAAGAAACTCAGTAGTCAGGGGAGTTTTGGGAAATCTTAAAGCAAATGTATTTTATATAGTTCTGTAAAGTTGACATTATTAATACAGTTGATATTGGTAATAGACACTTCTGCCTCAAGATTCCAATCAAATCAGGTTTAAAACGCCATTTGGCAGCAAAAAACATGTGCGAAGCATGAAATTAAAGTTAGCACAATGCAGTTATTAAATGTTAATCATTGTTAAATTTCGTATACAACTTAAAATAAGTCTTTTGTAATTTTTCACATAAATTGTGTGTACTTTCAAAGTCTACTTCCTCACTGTGAAGGCAGCGCGCTTAGACACCGCGGCGGTTAGAATCATCACGTTGGAAGTTCACCACAGCAAATATGGCCAATACGACAAGCGAAGCCCCGTATGCCGGGCGAAATATTAGCCATAACTGATTTAATTGTGTTTGTTGTTGTTTGTTCTCGGCGCCTTGCGGTGTTTCTTATTTACTGCATTTTACTACAAGGCCTAATTTGCAGGGGCGCAGTGGCTGGGGGGGCAGGGGGGGCAGCCGCCCCCCCTGGCAAAATTTTTGTCGGATTGTCGGAAAATCCAACGTTTGTCGGAAAATTTGAAATATTAGACAAAATGTAAGGTTTTCATCGATCCTGTCTAAAAGGTCGCATATTTTTTTAAACCTGTCGTAAAATAGTGCATGATCAACCCTTCTTACTTATTTTCATTAGAGTATTTTTCGGAATCATCGCATTGCTGAAATTTGTAAAGGAAATTAACGCTCTGGTCTCAGTTATTTTATAAACTCCCATTTCCGACAGTTAAAATTCAACTCAGTTCATTTCGAAATGAATTCGCTGGTGTTGTAGAAGACGCAAAAAGTTATTATTTTCGCCATGACTTAGAAGAGGAAAATTTTGTCGAGCGACGAATACGCAGAAAGAAAAAGATGCCAGGGGAAAATTGCATAGATGAATTAGAAGGAAATAGGGAATCCGTATATCATCGTGATAGTAGATACAGCTATCAGCTCAATGAATACAAGATTCACGTCTCATAAGGCGATTTTGACAGATTTTGCCTTGCTCACCCCTGAATGTTTTCAAAAAACAATTGAAAGGCAGTTGTGTGCAGTGTAATTAAAAAAGGTTGCGAAGAATTACGGCCTGGATGACGAAAAATTAAGAGATGAGTACAGCTCTTTCGCCAATAATTACCGTAAATTTTGGAAAGTTAGAGAAAAGAGCAACCCTCTCCCGGCTGCAGGAGAAAGAGAAAACTTTTCAGTTCCATTCAGTTCTTCAGTTGATGATAAGTATAACCTGCAAAGTGCCTTTCCACAGCTGGTCCTTCTTTACAAGGTTCTCGTCACTTTGCCAATAGGTTCAACAAACTATGAAAGAGCTTTTTCAAAGCTGAGGATTGTAAAAAAATCGGCTACGGTCAACGATGGGACAAGACCGCCTTTCCTCTCTGATGACCAATCAACGTCGAAAGTGATATTTTACAGTCGATAGACTATGGTGACATCGTCGATTTGTATGCTGCCACACCTCTTTTGAGAAAGATGCTGCTTGAGTAACAGTTTATATAAATTCAGTTAAAAGAAAACTATTCTTTTGGACGCGTTATATCTATTTAAGGTTTAGCATAAATAAATGCAAAGTAATTATGATGCGATTTAAAACTTGCCAAAAAAACTTTTTGCTATAAACAGCTATAAACACTAACTTGACAGTTTATTGTCTAGTATAGCGAGAAGACTTGTAGAGTGTAAATTTATAACTAGTTGCAGTTTTGTTTATAGCGATTTATATTTGGTAAGTTTTGTTAGAAGAAAGGCTATTGTTGAACTTGAAGGTGTATAACGAACGATCCATTCGTTAACGATTTCCAGATCCATTCGTGATATTGTAGTATCAAGTGTTGCAGTATATGCAGCAAGGGTAATCTTCAAGGAATGTATCGAGAAAAAATTTGTCGGAAAAATCATAGTTTTATCGGAAAATTTTCAGCTTTGCCCCCCCAAAAAGGTAACTCCCACTGCGCCCCTGCTAATTTGTTTGCAATGAGAGGCACTGCCTGAAATATCAGAGACTTTCCAAAGCCAGTTGGCAATATGGCGAAGGTGTCTCTTCTCTCTACAAACAATGCTTTTAATGCTGTTCTGTGTTATGTTCCACAACATGCGGAAAATATTCTTTGAGTACAGTTTTAACAGTATATTCAGACTCAATTCCTGATTGGTTAATATCAGCACACCAGAACGAGAATGGGGCGCACTAGACCAGACTCTCTATTTCATTTCATATATAGTGAGTCTGGTACCCAGGGTATTGATACGCAAAACTTCCTGAAATGCTAAATTTGCGAAAATTTATTTCTGTGAAATATCCAGAAAATTTTGCTGTTGATCCTCTTGAAAACTTTGACGAAGAATCATTCTGTTGGACAAATTTTACATCTTTTTTGTTGTTTTGCTGGTATCGTGTGGAATAAAAATAGAAGGAAACCTCAAATGAATAAAAATGTGTTTCACGCAAAGTCCATAATTTTCGCTAAAACGCGAAAGTTTGTTTTTGCAAAGCTCCTATTTCGCTTCTTTCGCAAAGTTGATTCCAAAAATTTGCCAATTTGAGAAGCTTTCTTCCTGCGCAACTTTCTTCCCTTAAAGTGATACGACCCTAAGGAACGTTTGATAATGCGTGGAAGGTCATTATTAGCTAGAAATGTAACAATGGCGACTCTAGACAACTAACTAAAAACAACAGCTCCTTGATCTCTACATACAGTTCCAAATTATTTCTCTAGGAAGTAGGACAGATTTGCCGTTGTGCGAAATTTGAAATAGAATTTCTGTATAGTGGATGTTGGTCATAGTGGGGCCCTTTGGCCTGCGCGCAGACTTCATTTTGATGCTTAGTTGTGAAGCCAGCACGCATGTTAGGGGCCTTGGCTGTGACTGTAGTTTCCAGTTAATGAAAACTATCTTCTCCACTCCAACTTTTGCAGAATGGGCCCGTAATTTTCTTTACTTTAACATAAATTTCAACTGTGACTGGTGCTGTCATCAACAACCGATAATATCTATTTGAAAATGGCAAAACTCTGTCTTTCTTCTGAAAAGTCGCCAGTTTCCAAGAGGTTGACGACAAAACTTCCATTTTCAAAGATTTGCCGACAAGGTTAGGGTCTGGGGGGTGTCACACCTTCCACACCCCCCCGTAGCGACGGCCCTGGTTTTATGGCATGCCAAAGCATCTTATTGACCGACTGCAGCGTGTCCAAAATGCTGCTGCTCGTGTTGTGTTGCTACTACCTAAATTTGGCCATATAAGTACAGCCTTATTTGATCTTCACTGGCTTCCAGTCAAACAACGCATGTAGTTAAAAATTATCCTGCTTACCTTCAAGTGCTTGATAGGAAATGCACCTGTGTATTTACGGGACATGGTGGAGAGGTATGAGTCCTATAGAATTCTCAGATCGAGTAATGCGCTGCTGTTAAAGGTTCCTCGTTTCAAGAACAAAACATTAGGTGCTAGAACTTTTGCCTATGCTGCAGCTAGTCTTTGGAACAGTCTTCCGTTTGAAATTTGTTCTTTTGACAAAATTGATAATTTTAAATCGCTGTTAAAGACTCATTTATTTAAATTAGCTTATTATGTCATGTAATAGGTTTTAAATTGTAAAATGTATAGAATACTGTATTATAGTTATGCACTTTAATCATGATTATTATTATTATCATTATTATTAAAGATTTTGAATGGCAGAAGAAAGGATGTAAAACTACCAACACCAAACCACATCAGAAATAGTATGTGTGCTATTGAGGTCCTTAAATGCTTGAACTGCCTTGGACCGCCTCACTTTATAATAAACTTTCAGAAAATAAACCATTATAAAGCAGCTCGTGGAAATGAACACAGTTTATTGCTTCTAAAAGCGAAATCTGAAGCAGGACGGAAAACTTTTGCATTCCAGAGTGCAAAAATGTTCAATAAAATCTCCAAGGAACACATGAGTATAACATCAACTCACAAATTCAAGAGTTACTGCAAGGGTTTTGACTTTGAACCTTTTCCTTTAGACAATATCGTTGCAAATAGCTTTTAAACTAAATCTATATCATTCAGATAAAATAGTTTCCTGGACCTACCGGGATATATTCAGGTGTCTCGCTTAGCCACAGTTTCCCTGGGAAAATAGCCTATTCTTTTTAAACGTAAGAAGGGCAATTGCCCAAGGACCGAGATACCGGGGGGGGGGGCCTTAGGTTCCATAAGTAAAATAGTTGTAATTTTAAAAAAGGGCTGTTGTTACACTGATTTATCAGGGCTGGCCACCCCAAACAAAAAGTTGTATCTCGGTCTTTGCAATTGCCTCCCCCTAATAAGTAAATTAAAAAGGCCCTGATCACAGACAAACAAGAGGACTACACTTTTTTTTACAAGGACAAGTAAATTCAAGTTCAGGCTTACTGTTTATAATTTCTTCGAAAATCTGAGGCTGGATTGTTTTTAATTTGTTCTTAATTTAATAGGGTGTAAGCAGTGCGAATGCTAACTTTTTCGCTCTAGGGAGGTAGTCTAGACTCATTTGCCAACAAAGTGAGTGAAACAACCTTCATTTTCCGACAGGTTTGAATATTCACCAAAAAAGCACCCACACATGGCTAAAAATCCTCGATTTTGAGAAAAAACTTTGATCAAAATTGCATTTTGCAGAAGCTCAGCCTCAGGTTGTTCTCAATTTGTTTTAAATTTTTGACAAATTTTGAGGCTCGTGTTCTTATAGAAGGGTGCCTCTCTTTCACGCAATGTTGTTGCTGCTGCGGGAAATTCCCAGAATTCGTGTTGCCAGTTCCTTCAAACTTCGTTTGAAAACTTTTGAAGATTGTATTGCAGCTACTTTGAAGCGACCAAAATACGAAAGATCTGTGAAATGAAAATTTTATGCACAATGAAGAAATACCTTTCTTTGTCTGTTCTTATTATCTCTGTATTTGGAGCAGGGAAAACGGAAAAAGGAAAAGGCTTTGTGGATCCTGTTGAAAGGATCTTGGCAGAGAGAGGTCTAAAGCTGCCCCATGAAATGAAAATGACTGAACGTTTAAAAACGGCTGCCAATGAAAATGAGATGGACTCTGTAAGTTTGCTGTGTTTTTGGGATTTAATTCATCAGAAATTTTCATTCTGGTGGATTTCTTGTGATGAATTTTCAGTTATGTTATAGTCACACTAAGTCATCACATCTTATGAACTTTAAGTGTCTTGAAAAAGAGGATTAAAAATATTCCGTGAATTGATAGGAAGTCAAAACACGAATTTTTACTAATTAAAATTGCATAAGGTACAAATATAACATAGAGTCTGGGTAGCAACGAAACAAAAAACTAATAAAAAGCGGTGAACCATTAAGAACAAGAAGGTGAAAGTAGGCCTACTTTTTGTTCATCTAAAAATGAAACTTGTTGGGAAATGCATTACCTGAGCAAACATTTTACACTGCTCGATGAATGAGTAGTAGCTGTTAAAATTTAGCAAACCCTTTACTGAAAAACATTGGCTTAGACAAAGGAAGGTTTTGCAAGTTACAACCTTATGCTAATAATGAACAGCAATAACACCAGGGGCGGATCTAGAAATTATTCTGAGGGGTTCTAAAACGTAAGGCTTGGTAACCCAGGGTGTTGCTATGCACAAACTCTGTACCCCTGCTAATAAGCCATAATGAAATGAAAGTCTTCCATAAACTAAAAAGCCTGGATGCCTTGATTTATATAGTAATTTTTGGTTTCAGCTTTTATGCCAATTGAACGCAATTTGCAGCTCGTCCTCTTATATTCACTTAGGGTACAAAAGTATAGAAACTGTAGTCAAATATGATATGATGGCCCGCAGTGGCAAAAGGCCCGAGCCCACAAATTTTCAAAGCAAAATTTAATTTTTGACTCTTTGCAGCCATTTATTAGAACTTGATCAGCTTGACCAAAAAAATAACGTGGCTGGTGGAATGAAGCCCTTGAAGTGCAGTGCAAAAGTTGAACACAGGGATTCAAACACAGCATGCATCGACATATGACGCCGAACCAAACAAAGAAGGCCCTGAATGTTTCGCTATGGGCCTGGCGTTTTGAGTATTTTTATGTATTTGAAATTCTTAGAGAAAAAAGTATTCGCAGGAATATAAGTAGGTATAAAAAGGAAACCCCTTTTGGTCAATAATAGTAAGGGCAAGTTTTTGAGATGTTTTTTATGTAGTTCTTGAATTATTAAAAAAAGAATAACAAGGGCTCGGGGCTCGGGCAAGCTTTATCCTCTGAATATAAATCATACCTCATGGTCTATGAATAAGACGTGAAACACGGAGTTGAAACTTGAAACCGTTCTGTTATATAAACCACAGCGTTTACAAGTTCTGCCGTTACAGCATCGAGCATCAGGTAAAGATCGTCAAAAGATCCACGAAAACATATTGCAAATTTGCGCCTAAGCATTCGTCGCGTGCTGTATCATAATTCAACTCCCCCTGGTCAACCTCAACTCCCCCTGGTCAACCTCAACTCCCCCTGGTCATAAAACCACTTATACATTTGACTGTAGATTGAAGCGAAGAAACTCCCCCTGGTTTGTCGGTATTCTTTGATGTTTTGGATTTTTGAAATCCATGGGTTCTCGCGCCAAAGTTTAGAACCCCTCGACCTGGCACCGTGATTGGCTAGATTCACTTCCACGGGTGCAGAAACTCGTATAATTTACAGGCCACGGGTTCCTTAAGTGGCTGGATATAAGAGGAGACAATGCTTTCCGAGTCTGTAGAATGCTATACAGGACAACCAGGGGGAGTTTCATACACTTCAATGCATGGACTGAAATAACAATGTTGAACAGTTGTGAGACGGGGCATTGAAGCGGAAATAACAATTTCAGGAGATGTGCATACTTCCCGGTATTATTTAAATGGTTTAAATAATAATAAACAAAATTGCGGTAGAATAAGCTTTAATCCTCAAAAAGTTTGTTCTCAAATCTGAGGGGTGCTCGAGCCCCCTTCGCACCCCACTGGATCCGCCCCTGAACACATTTATATACCAGTCATAGCTATGTCCTTTGTTTCTTATTAATATAAACATCAATCCAGTTTCTATTTTTCTATTGCCTCTGACTGCATGGAATACAAAATTTTAAGCTTAAAAATTATCATGAAAATTTAGTCAACACTTTCAGTCATTCTTGTTAAGTCACACTGATGGTTACAGTCAGGGATGGATTTATGTGCCAAGGTTTGGGAGAGGGGGTGTTAGTTAGTAATTGGATTTTCATGCCACACCCTTCAGGACACTGGAGAATGGTGGAAATGCATATTTTCCAATTCAGTTTTTATCTTTAAGATAGAAAAGATAAGGAAATAAGCAAATTAAAATCTGGGTATTATTTGTTTATTTCTGACTACCAATAAAAGGTTCTGACTACCCACTAAATCCTCTCCTGGTTACAGTAAAGTGGAATTTTTCCCAAATATCCAAAACTGTCCAGTTTAGCTCTCTTTAGAGTCACACTCCACTTCCAGGAACAACTTTTCAAGCAACACTTAGTGTGACTATGACTAGCATCTCCTGTTTTATAACTATGGCCATGGTCACAAAATTTAAAACTAATTTTTGGAAGTCATTAGGCATCAAACAATGGAAATTGTTTAGATTTAACACTGGAAAATATCAACATATATAATTGTGAAACATGTTATTGGTTTAATTGTGCTGCATTATAGTAAAAAATGGTCACGGTTGTAAGGTCTGTTGCAACACTAAAAAATTCAGACATTTGCCCTATGAACAGATAGCAGTGAGAACAGTAAATACATTTAGTCACTCAAGCCAAAAAGAAATCCTTCCCAATCTGTCTTAACAATATCCCACAATTTGTTAGGAAGAAAGGCCATTAAATTACAATTTTTTTACAGGAAGACCTAACATCAGATCAGTGACCATGTCTTCACAATGACATTTTTATGTTTTCTAATTTAAATCTGTTTTTCTTTATCTTCCATCTTAAAATTATTTCACCACTTCAATACAATTTGCGACAGCTTTTTTATTTTCAGTTAACAAAAATTGTTTTGTGACATTACTGGGTCATTCCATATCAAAGGGATCTATGTAACCCACTCCTTCAGAATTGTCCATTTTTTTTTGTAAATTATTTCACCACTTCAATACAATTTGCTACAGCTTTTTTATTTTCAGTTAACAAAAATTGTTTTGTGACATTACTGGGTCATTCCATATCAAAGGGATTTATGTAACCCACTCCTTCAGAATTGTCCAATTTTTTTGTAGGGTTGTTTATACTAATGAGATAGATACACCCTGCAAATTTCAGCCCAGTACCTTTATTTGTTCCAGAATGAGAGCAACTTGAAATTTGCACAATATTGGCTCAAATTTCCCAAATCCACCATTCTGAAATTTTGTCATAAATCTTTTTGTTAAAGTTAAATGTAATCTTTTTGAATTTCGCCCTAAAAATGTCTCTTTTGAGTAAATCAATTCTCAGAGCTTTGAAAATCACATCAGAAACCTGCTAACATCTACAGAAAAGCATGTTTCGGATTATTGGTAAAGCCCGATCCTCGTTCCACCTAGCAGTTTTAGAATCTATCTATATAAGCACGAAAAAACCGCTACTGTGTAGACAAAAGGAGTTCGTTTTCACCTTAGGACTCTACTGGTAACATTCTAATAGGTAAGCGGCACTGATTGGTCAACCTTTACAGTCATGTGCTCGTGTTTCTGATTGGCCTATTTCGATCCACAACTGGGTATATATATTTCTTAGCGTAGAGTTTTTGATCTATGTTCTGGCGTTTTAAACTCTGAAGAGTGTCAGACGAAAAGCTTTAGTTTACTAAATGTTTGCTTTTTTCAAAGCCATTAATAAAAATTTTTGTGTCATATACACTTTAAAAGCCTTTGTAAGTCCATCTCCACATTTAATTGCAACATTTTGAATTTTGCATTTTCAAAATTCTATCCGCCAAAAGTTTTATTTTATTTTCTTTTTTCCTGAATTTCGCCTTTCCCAATATACTACAGCACTTCAGTTTAGGGAGTGGGGTCTCTCCTCGATTAGTTCAGCCAAGGGCTACGGAGCCACGGGGGTAGTGGGGGCAGCACAGGGGCAGCAAAGTGATTCATATAAATATTTTGAATGCTAATAAAATCTAGGTTTCAAGCATATCTGGATACCTACATGCAAGACAAAAGTCAATAGTTTCCATTTTGATGAGAACTCAAAACCGACTTGCAAAGCAATTCGACCAACAAAAATATTTTCGTTGATAAGTTTTCTTTAACTTTCATGATCATGCTAAACAGATTTCAGATTGCTACCAACCTTGGCTCGCATGCGTTTGACATCTCAGTAGTGGGCCCGTATCCCTCTTTTTCCCTAAACTCAGTTTACCTGCCCCATTGCAGCTCACCGAGTTGCTCTTTTTCTCAACTGCATAATCAAAAAGTGTGCCCTTGAATTGCTTAGGTGCTATACGAAGTGAGCAAAGGGGTGACCTTTGGGGCGATGATCTAAAATGTTTCGGCTTTTAGAAACACCAAAATACAAGTTCAACCAAAAAACAGTGACGATGGAAAATTGGCCATGGGCTTTGAGGTTTAGGGCGCTCTCGAGGTTTCCAGTTTGTGAAAGCAATTAGTAAGACATAACAAAAGTATGCAACATTTTAAACGATTGCAAAAAGGCGACTGCAAAAAAATTTGAAATGAATTTTTAGGTAATCTAAAGGGCACCGTTTCTCCAAAAAATTTTCTGTTAGCTTCGCTCGCGAAGGGCCTCCGGGACCTCTCGGCAACACTACACACAACTAAGCAAGAAAATTTTAGCCAGGCTTTATGTAACAGCCTTTTTAAAAATAATAGAATGATATGATTTTTTCTGCTCTCAAGATCTTTGTCAAACAGATTGAGCCAAATATGGAACTCAGTTCCAAACGAAATAAGTACTCCTCAACTTTACAAAAATTACAGAAAAAATCCCAGAATTTTCGTCGTTCAATACTTGTGATCTTTACAAGAAATACGTCTGCAATATCAGGTATATTTGATTCAAATTATATTTAGCGTTAGTAATTTAAATTGGTTGGCTTTATTTAGCTTGAAAATAGCTGCAGATTGTACCAACTTTAAATAAAGAAAGAAAAGAACAGTAGTTTCAGAGGAGTTATATCCAACATCAAGCCATGTAGATGGTCATCAGAGCAAAATTTTGCTTTAATGTAAGATAAGATTGGGCCCAGCCTCCCTTGATGGTTGATGTTGTGGTGAAAAGTTCGAGAATGAAGTTTGACTGTGGTCTTGATTCCAACGTATCATTATGGGTGTTGCCTTCATTTCCAAAAGTCTTTAGGGCGTAGCAACACAAAATTGTTCACACCTACCTTCTATCCCTTAACAGGGCTTTCACCTACAGCCAGGCTGTGTCATTGGCTAAACAACAATTCCTGATCAGTTTTATCAGCAAAATTTGACACCTCAAGGTGCCCTTTCTGCCAGTCCTGCCCCGCCGCTTCATGAAGCTTCCGGCGCCTCAGAGTTCAGCTACTGAGAGAGCTCCTCCTTTAAGAATTTTACTACCTACTTGATTTGTATCATTTTATTTTGTAATACCTTTATATTTATATTCATTTATTGTACTTTGTTTAGTTGCAGTTGATAGTAGGTAGTGGAATTTAAAAATGAAATGAACATGAACATTGATTACAAATGCCACATATGTGTTATTTACCAAACAATTAATTCACATTTACCTTTGTGACTGGGTTGTTCTGCTTGTTACTGTGTTGTTACTGGGTTGCTCCGCTTGTTACCGTGTTGCTACTGGGTTGTTCTGTTTGTTACTGTGTTTTTACTGGGTTGCTCCGCTTGTTTCTGTTTTGTTACTGGGTTGTTCTGCTTGTTACTGTGTTGTTACTGGGTTGCTCCGCTTGTTACTGTGTTTTGTTACTGTGTTGTTAGTGGGTTGTTCTGTTTGTTACTGTGTTGTTAATGGGTTGCTCCGCTTATTACTGTGTTGTTACTGGGTTGATCCGCTTGTTACTGTGTTGTTATTGGGTTGTTCTGTTTGTTACTGTGTTTTTACTGGGTTGCTCCGCTTGTTACCGTGTTGTTACTGGGTTGTTCTGTTTGTTACTGTATTATTACTGGGTTGCTCCGCTTTTTTCTGTTTTGTTACTGGGTTGTTCTGCTTGTTACTGTGTTGTTACTGGGTTGTTTTGCTTGTAACTGTGTTGTTACTGGGGTTGCTCCGCTTGTTACTGTGTTTTGTTACTGTGTTGTTAGTGGGTTGTTCTGTTTGTTACTGTGTTGTTAATGGGTTGCTCCGCTTATTACTGCGTTGTTACTGGGTTGATCCGCTTGTTACCGTGTTGTTACTGGGTTGTTCTGTTTGCTACTGTGTTTTTACTGGGTTGCTCCGCTTGTTACTGTGTTGTTACTGGGTTTTTCTGCTTGTTACTGTGTTGTTACTGGGTTGCTCCGCTTGTTACTGTGTTGTTACTAGGTTGTTCTGCTTGTTACTGTGTTGTTATTGGGTTACTCCGCTTGTTACTGTGTTGTTACTGGGTTGCTCCGCTTGTTACTGTGCTCTTACTGGGTTGCTCCGCTTGTTACTTTGTTCTTACTGGGCTGTTCTGCTTGTTCCTTGTTTTCTGCTTGTTCCTTGTTTCAATTAAAGTTCCGCTATCTTTTTAAAGGCAAGATGTGTGGAGGCAGCTAAAGAGATCAGAATTTTAAAAGATGACTTGAATGAATGCAGAAAGAAGAGGGGTGAAGTATCAAAACAACTTACCAAGAATATTGTCAACCAGGCACTTAAAGAGGCTTCTGTGGATACACCGTACCTCAAGCAGCTGTACAGAGCGATATTGCAGTCAGTTATTCAATCAGAACAAAAAGAAATGTCAGTAGCAAAAGTAACTTATAGGATAAGTAAAGACTCGACAGAGAAGATTGAAAAATGCATATCTGATAAAAAAGATGCACAGCTTTGCACCAAGATCCTGCTTAACATTTTCTCTTCTGCCAGATTGGAGACACCAAACAAAGTATTTTCTGATTTTTTAGGCATCATCTTAAAAATTGACTTTTATTATCTACTCTATTTCATCATCATTGCTTTGATACTTTTGGTCATTTATCACGCAGTGAAAAAACTGTTCTTGGCAGAACTGACTCTGCTTGGCCTTGCTCTTTTGCTCTTCACATCCTGTTTCATTGCAAGTGTCCCATGGGAGTGGATGAGATTGTATAAGTCAGCTATGGCAAGAAAAACTGCAGCAAAATTTAATGTGCCTGAAGAATGCTTTACAACAAAGATGTCATATGGTGCCTTGATCAAATGGTGGCTCCGTGACACATTTTCATTTGCAGAAAGCTCTTGCTCCAAGTACTATGATTCTGTGATTGTTGATCCGATATGGGAAGTCACCCCTGGAGAGGTAGGTTTTTCATTTGCATGTTTTAAAGATATTTGACACGATATGTAGTATATGTACATAAGATATAAAGAAAATTACTATTTTGCCGGTCTGTCATTAAGTGTTGGATACTGTATAAGAGAGTTTGTATGTTCTACTTGGTGAGAACAGGAGTTCTAAGTCGCCACTTCAAGTTTCATTCTAAATGCGATTATGAAGCAGCTGCTAGAACTACTCACCCTATGGGTGTTACTATATTACGTTGTTTTGTCTTTAGAGGTATGTAGAATTTCAAAGGTGTTAGTTGGAGGGCAACCTATATTATTTCAACATTCTGAAATAAGTTCAGAACTTTGTTTAGGATGGAGCTCTTACCAAAGAATTTATAATGACTAAGTTTTTCTTCCATGCAAAGTTTACATCATTTAGATTTGTTAGAATAGGCTGTTAGGGTATTTGTTAGAACTGCCCTTTTTCTTTTTGATCATTTGATAGAAACTTCTCCTGTTTTCTCTTTAGTCGCCAAACAAATTTAAATAGTTCTGTACTGTTTTCGTGCTTCTCATTTCATTTCATTTTATGAGTTGCGCACTTCAGCAGAGCTGTCTTTCAAGGGGCCCGTTTTAAAAAAACTTTAATTACAATACCTCAAAAAAAGAAGAAAATACCTCTATATTTATTGCTTAAACATATTTAAGCGTGAAGCCTGCCTAGACCGAACTGAAAGGCAATCCCATAGGTTTGCTCCTCTTTAATAGAAACGTCTTTGCCCGTATGCTGAGTTTTCTCTTGGCAGCCCCAAATCAGTCACTGCATTGCAGAGACCGTGGGTGGAGCACTGTGAATTACAGGTGAAAAGGCTACACAAGTATTCTGGAGTCAGCTCATGCAAGGATTTAGATACCACTGTTTTAGTTTGACAACGTATTAGTTCATCAATGGTTTTCATCCAAGCTCTTGGATTAGTGTTCTGCCTGGGGCATCAAATCAAAACTGCCCAAGCAGCTCGATATTTGAGTTTTTGTAACATTATTTTGCACTCAGCCCCAGCAACCCCATGGCGCACCGCGATACCTGTTTAAATGGTCTTCAAGATTTTCATTGGTAGAAAGAACTGTGTGCTGGTCACGGTTCTGAGTCCTACCCTGGGCGTGTAACTTGCACACATTTTATCTCAGTATAAAAACTTGTCAGTGCTAGAATGTTGCATTTTTACTTTCATCAATGCTGCCATTTTGTTTTGAAACTGTGAAGCCTTTAAGATGTAACAACAAAAATGACTTCAGCTTGAATCATGTTTTTATTATAGAGGCTATAATGAGTCTGTCTGATAAGTACACGTGCACATATATCGAAGTGACAGCAAACATGTCCCATGTTTTAATTAAACCTGTAATATATATCAAACAAGTCCACTATTTTTAATATTTTATCTTTCTGTACCATTGCGTCCAGTGCTTTCACTGTTTTTGTGTTTACTTTTCATTCATTAGGCAGTAGCCGCAGCAGCATCTCGCATATTTTTTCAACCATTGCTGGTATTATCAGAGCACCTTGGGAAAAGTTTCAGAGTTCTGTTCAAGGAGATTCCAGTGCAGTGGCAGCTTTTGGTGTTTGTCACACTTTGTGTTATGTTTCTACTAGCCATTGGAATTCAAGTCTATACTCCTGTATTGCGAATTGGCAGGGGTGAAAACAACGCGCCGCAGTTGGCATACAGAGAGCAGGTCCAGGCACTGAGAAATCAAGTGAACAACCTACAGGCCCAACTTGAAGCTAGGCCAGTTTATCGCAACCAACTTAATCATCTTCAGGATGCCCCCGCAGAAGAAAAAGCTATAGAAGATCTCCCTCTACAAAACATGATTGAGAATATTGTCCAAGGTGGGTATCTTATAATAATAATAATAATAATAAATAATTTGTTTAAAGTTGGCGTACTAAATGAACGGTTGATAGCTATAAAGAAGCTAATTAAGGCCAACTATCTAATAAGAGTTAGTATGAAATAAAAATATATGATACAATATTAAAAAGGTTTAAGGTATAATGTTCTAAATAAAACCTAACCCAGCAATAAATTTTTTACACATCTTATTATCGTCTACTTCTTTAAATGCATTTACCAAGATCCATGGCAGAAAAGAAGTTCGTATTTGTTCCTTTGCTCCATGTTTGAATTCTTTTTTTAGAAGCGCCAACGTTCGTGTGTAATATTTTTGTATTTGGCTTGGTATGTATGTGTATGTTTAAGTTTCACGCGATATGTTAAGTTCGTCCGTTTCCTCCCATTAAAATCCATCTAGAAGATGAAATAAATGAGGAACCACAGAGACAAGCAGAAAGACAGGGACAAGCAGAAAGACAGGGACAGGCAGAAAGACAGGGACAGGCAGAAAGACAGGGACAGGCAGAAGGACAGGGACAAGCAGAAGGACAGGGACAAGCAGAAAGACAGGAACAAGCAGAAAGACAGGGACAAGCAGAAAGACAGGAACAAGCAGAAGGACAGGGACAAGCAGAAAGACAGGGACAAGCAGAAAGACAGGAACAAGCAGAAAGACAGGGACAAGCAGAAAGACAGGGACAAGCAGAAGGACAGGGACAAGCAGAAAGACAGGGACAGGCAGAAAGACAGGGACAGGCAGAAGGACAGGGACAAGCAGAAAGACAGGGACAAGCAGAAAGACAGGGACAAGCAGAAAGACAGGGACAAGCAGAAAGACAGGGACAAGCAGAAAGACAGGGACAAGCAGAAAGACAGGGACAAGCAGAAAGACAAAGAGAAGCAGTCGAGAGTGTGTATGAGCTGCCAGCGGGACCAGTAATTCACCAAGACACGCATCCAATGATGAACGGTTTTTTTAGAGATGGCTGATTCTAGAGATACAAAGGGGTTTACTGATACAGCTGAAAATATTCCGAAGTGCGGGCCTAAAAACGTCAAACGGGCCACCGTCCCATTCGAGTAGCCTCTCTAATAGAATACCTTGCACTTTTCAAAAAATGCTAGTAAGTTTCTCATATAATGCTAGTAAGTTTCTATTTCATTCCAAATACATTGATAACCAACTTTTTAAATTGATTTAAATTATGTAAAATCGATTTTTATCCTTTTAGACTTGAATAGCTCTATATTTTTTAAGGAATCCTGGTAGCTGCCATCAGTGGCGGACTGGCTACCTTTTGATCCACCGGGAAGAGCAAGCAAAAGGGCGCCAATAGGTGTTAAAGTTGCTTATTTTTGGGGCTTGTTAAAAGGGCCCGGAGAAATTTTGCCTTAACTGAGGATCAGTTTGTTGCAAACATTGTCATAATTCCTCCTTAAAACCCTTTGAAATGGACAACAGAATGAGAGAGCTAAGTGGGAAATGAAACGGGGGCTTAGGGGCTTGCCCCCGGAAATATTTTGAAAAACATCCTATTTAGAAGGTCGGAACATGTCCCAAGTTGAAAATCAAAGTTTTTTATCCACAATTGGCATTGGCATGAAGAAGACGCTCTGTTAAATTGACTGTATTTGAAACGTCTACACGGCTGGTTAAATTTGTAGGTATCAAGTGACGTATTGTCCTCAATTTTATGTATCAAATGATGATATCAAATGATAGATTTTGAAAGTTGGACTAAAACCCAAAGCCCGTTTTTCTGTAAGCGAGACACTCACTTCCAAGATTTTATAAAGAAAGAAGCTTCTCTGGCCTAGGAGACGAGATTATTTTCGATTCAACTCGATCTCAAAATCTTTTAAAATTCGACGAAATATATGACTTCGTTCTCATCAAACGGTAACATAAAATTTTTTGAAAGTTTTGCATCATTGAGAAATGTAAAAGGGTGCCTAATCACCTGCTAGCCTGATGACTATGTTGCTCCTGCCTCCACGCTACTGTTACATATCATTTGCAAAGAATATTATGCCAGTACACCAGCGTGCGCAATTATCATGTGCTCAAAACCGTAGACTTGTCCGAAAAATGTCTGATAACATATCTTGGAAAAATGGATTTTAAGAGATCTTGCTGCCATCCTTTTTGTGCAAATTGATATTTTGCAGGTTGATAGGCTCCCTCTCTATGAGAAACTGTGCGTAGAAATGGTAAAAGGATAAGGAATTTCTTAAGAAAAGGCGCAGTTCCTTTCCGGGACAAATTTGAAAAAAAATTGGAAAACTTTAATAGCTAGTTGTAAATTTGAAACCAGTTTTTTTCAAAACAGCCGGTTTAACTTTCCATTAAGTTTTCTAGAAGGTTCTTACATGACGGCATGAATCCTCAACAAATTCTGTATAAACTTTTTTTAAAAAGTGGTCAAGATTTTTTACTTCAAGTAGTGATAATTTATTTTGGTACAAAACTCCTTGTTTTAACGTACAAAAAGCAGGATGCCTATGAGTTGTTAGTTGAATTGCAAAACATAATAGCTTATCACGGACAGGCAGTATTGTCCTCTATCATTCTTAGAGCAGTTTTCACTATCAAGGGATAGTTGATGGCCCAAAGAAAAACGGACTTTTATTCAAGAGAGACAACTCAAGGAATATGCACATATTACGAAATCAAAAATCGGCAATATTAGAAAAATCCCCTTCTCCCTAAACAACTATTTTAACAAACTTTAACAAATAGCCATCATAACCGTAATAACGTTTGTGTAAATCCCCCCTCCCCATCTTTGATTACATAATATGTGAACGTTCCCATACCCAATAGCCAAGGCATCGGTAATTTTATCCAGTTACAGCCATTCTGATTAGAAAGAGCACAGGGTAGCGCTTACCCTTTTTTAAAGTGCGAGCCCTCAGTTATTGGATACCACGCACTAGGATTAATTTGCATTAGCCATAAGATTAGCCATAAGTTAAAAACTAATATGGTTAGTCAGACGTCATTGGTTTCACAAAATTATTAGTCATCAGTCAATTGGCAAATAGTCTGCTAGTTAGCTAGTGAAAATCCCTACTACCCTTTCAACAGAATTCGAATTAATTCAAGTATTGTGCACCTGCTTGAAAAAATTACAAGCTAACCAAAATTACAAGAGGTTTTATACTCCGAGGAGTTTCAGACAAAAAAGCTTCTAGTATGTTTAAAATGTCTGCTTCTTTCAAAGTCATTGTTCAAAGCAAAATATGTTCTTTACAAGGTTTTCGGAAAATCTTGCAGAATTTGTAGACTGGGAAACTTTGCAATCAATCTTAATATTGTTCAACTTAAGGCGGCCCTGGTCAAACGATCCAACATTTCGCCCAACTTTTCGCACAACATTTTTTTCGATGTTGGAAGGTGATCCGACGTTGGTGGTCAAACGATTCAACATTTCGCCCAACATTTCGCCCAACATTGTTTTCGATGTTGGAAGGTGATCCAACGTTGGTGGTCAAACGATTCAACATTTCGCCCAACATTTCGCCCAACATTGTTTTCGATGTTGGAAGGTGATCCAACGTTGGTGGTCAAGCGATCCAACATTTCACCCAACATTTCGCCCAACATTTTCTCGCGCAGATCGAAAAGAGAATGGGTAGTAGGTAATATTGATGTTGCTTAACAACAGTAGGCACACCAGACGTCCACGATGATGGCCGCACATAACGATGCGCCACCACATTCCGATCCGAGAAAACGAAAGGCAATCGCCGCCATAGCTATAAATGGTATCAATTGTAAGCAAAATCTAGAGTCGAAGCGAGAATCGCAGCGAGATTCGAAGCGAACGACATCAACCCGAGAAGTCAACAACAATGCTATGATTTAATTTTTGCGGTCTTTTACCGACTACGCGTGCGCAGAGCCAACAATGCTGGCTGAGGTGATCAAACGATCCAACATTTCACTTAACACTTCAAAACAAAAGAATTGTTGGACGTCGGCAGCCAACATTTTTGACCTCAGTTAAATTTCATCCAACATCGAAATTTACGATGTTGGGTGACCCAACAAGGTGGCCAAACGGGCTGAAGCCCCGGCCAAGCGAGCCAACATTTCACCCAACATTTCACCCAACATTTCAGGCAACACGCTCTTTTCGCATGTTATCTCAAATGTTGGGTCGTTTGGCCGTTTTGGTCGTTTGGTCGTTTTCATATGCCATTTTTATAACAGATCTGTGTCAAACAACAAAGTTTTGTGTGCAATGCCGTTACCTAGTTGCATTTTTTTGCTTTGTATATAATCGCTTTAATCGTTTCAAGGTGTAATCCTGCAGTGAAAGAGTATTCGTTCATGGAACTATAAGATTTGGCGTGGGTCTCGGGCCTATAAGGCTGTTATTTTCTTTAATGGTTAAATCGGAATTTGCTTCCAAACGTATTCCAGACTGGAAACTTTGTCGCGCGCCCGCGATATATTGCCCGCGCACTCAAATTTTCCATCCGCGCACTTTTGCAAATTGGCCGCGCAAAGTCCCTATTTGAATACATTTTACATTATTAACAATACAAATTTCTTAAAGGTGCGTGATTTCAGGCGCGTAGTTGCGCAGTCAGGCGCGTAGTTGCGCAGTCAGGCGCGTGAACTTGCCGGCGCAAGAAACAAAGTTTCCAGTCTGGAACGTATTGCAGTTTTTCATTTTGTGAAAGCATGTCTCAAGGGACCTTAAGAGATTTTGACAGTTTGATTGTTGTATGGTTTTAAAGAATAGGAGAGTTGAGCTCTCTAATGTTGAGTGATCAAAAATATTCTCCTGTTTCGTTAGTTTGGATTTCTAGAGGATTTTCAGTTGCTTGGTTTCATTTATGCTAATCTTCTATTCCCCTGAAGTGGTATTCTAAAGTTCTTCTCGGAAAAGACTCTAGATATTTTCCGTCAACCATTGTTGCAAAAAATCACTGCATAACGATTCTAATTGTCTTCAATTTTTCATTGCTTCTAAGAACCTGTTTTTATCATTGTACTAGTTGTTTTATCTTGTCTAGATAGAGCTCTACATATTTCAATACACACTTTTACACATTTAGTGCATTTTTAATAACATAACATCTGTAATTTTCAAGCAGTTGTTTAAATTGGAGGGCGATCAGAACACTGGTTTTTTATTATCTGTTCATCTTAGGTATACAGTTACTTGTGAAAGTACTATGTGTATAAGATCGATTTTTATCAACTTTGCCTTCCTGTCAGCCTTTTAAGTCATGTTTAGTGTCATCAAACGAAGATTTATAATATGACGCAAATGGCCTGAGACAAAGACCGAGATACAAATTTTTGTTTAGGGGGGGGGGCAGTCCCGATAAATCAGTGTAACAATAGTCATATTTTACAAAATAACAGTTTTTTACTAATGCAACTTAAGATTTTTGGGGGGCCAAGGCCCTCCCCGCCCCCCTTTCGGTATCTCAGTCTTTGGTTTGAGATTAGATTTAGCTTGATTTGTTTGTACTCTTACCCTTTTTGGTTTATGCTGCTATAATTTCATCCATGAATTGGTATTTTCGCTTGCTTTGTCCCGAATACTGTCTTTTTGCTACCAGCGTTACTAAAATTGAAACTAAACTATGCATAGTAAATGTCTTAACTGATTTAAGCCATTGAATAGCGAAGTGCCCTTCTTAGCAATCACGACCATCAAAGAAAATTAGCAAAGTCGGTGAAAGTCAATCTCGTTCCCATATCTTAAACAATCTACCATCGAAACACTGGTGTGAATATTTCCCTCCCACCCGAGGCGTCACCTCTGATTCTCCCCCTAAAATAACGAAAATATAAGACAAGAAAATTCCAGTGAATTCTTTGTAGCAATAGCAGAAGATTAAATGTTGTGCACATTCCTTAAATTCACTAATCTATTATGTTAAAATTGCTAATAATTATTAAATGTTTAAGCTGTTGTTTCAATGATATAGAAGCGCTGAAGGCCCTAGATCAGGGGTTCTTAATTATTTTAAGTGCCGGGCCAGAAAAATACATAGATTTTCTTCGGGGGCCAGTTGGTTTTCAACTTTTACATACCTTTTGTTAGAAGGCTGCTCAAAATGAAAATCAGATATCATTTTTACCAGGCTAAGTTAGTAATAAGATAGGCATGCCTATTATTTTATGCCTGCCTGTCTCATCTATCTTAGCATAAGCCCAAAAAATAGTTTTCACGAAGGTTTTGTAACTTTATGTTTCTTGCACCAGGCTGAGTCAGAAATTCGTTCTATGCTATTTTTAGGCCAGAAGGTTAATCGTTCGTTAGTCTCTTTGTTGGGTCGTTTTGAAGCGCCTGAAGTCAGGTCGAAGGACTGCACAGCGTATTTTAAAGAAAGGCCAAAATCTAACGTTTCAATTGTGGATAAATTTAATAACGGCCGCCACCATGGTTAGCGGAAAATTTTTTTAGATTATATTAATCTAGGAATGGCCAGAAACAGCACATCAAATAGATTTTAACGGGAGAAAATTCAAAGCAATATTCTTATGGTTTTCATAACTTGATTCCATAGTTTTATCTGTTGACATGAAAAAGGAAAAGTCTCGCAAGGTTTTAGAATGATATTTGCATAACAGCGTGTAAGATGGAGAGAAGAAATTCCCTCCTCTACCACTGCGCTGCATTCAAACCATTCTACATCAGCCAATCCGACACCACCATCGCCTTTTTTAAATAATATAATTGTTGTTTATTCTCGGCGTATTGCGGTGTTTCATATTTGCTCCATTTTTAAACAAATTTGCCTCACTCGGCAGTACACAGCATGACCCGAGTTAGACATCAGTTCAGGTTTCCGTCAAAACGAGGCGGCTATAGACGGAGTAAACGAACACGAGGCAATCTTGACGACCATGTTGAATTGAACCATGTTGATGCTGGGAAAAAGGGACGAACATTGAATATACAGAAATGCCTAAGGTTAGAGTGGAAAAGAAGACAAGAGTGCACAATGAAGTTGTTAAGCAAGGTAAAACCACACCCTCTGTCCTTAAGATTTCAATTTTATGTAGTAAGATTGAATGTAATAGTGCTTTTATTCAACATTTAACAAGGATCGGACAATGTGGGAGCAGACTACATGAGTAGATCCATTTGAAAATTGGACTTTCAAAGATTGATCTATTGAGTTACTTATAAGAAACTGTTTGAGCTGCTAATCAAGTACATGAACCGTTGTTGAAATTGTTGTTCGAAGAAATTGATACACATTTCGTTCTTAAATTGGGGGTTAGGTTACATTATGTTTCATGTGCTTAAAGTGTTATCATTATGATTGCGTATTTGGAGTAATCTTGTTGCATAAAGCGGCTGATTTATCATTGTTAGTTATCATTGTTTGTTCAGTGGTGTTCAAGCGTTATAATTGTGCATTTGTTCTGTTCTGTAGGTGTATTATGTGTGAATGTCCCCAGGGGTGTTGAATGTGTGTTGCAGTGATTTGTTCTTTGTTTTGTTGGTTATGATTATGTATTATTTGTAAAGAAAGATTTTTAAAAAAGAGGAGTTGGGAGATGATGGATTGTAGTAAACATGGTAAAATGAGAGTGGAAAATTGAGTTCTTAACAGATAGTATATTCTTTTGAGTCGTCGTTTCATATGTTGTAAATGAGGTCTCCATAAATTTATGTGGCAGATAACCTGTTTGTTACAGAAATGTAATTGCTATTATCGATTGTCTAACAAGAACTTTCTGCCTCTTATGAGTTCTGTCCATAAATTTGGTTTTTTCGGCTCTTTTTAAAAGCTGAGTTCCTTGCGTTATGACAGTTTTTATCAAAACTGGGAAAGCTTCCAAAAGAAAATGTACGGACATGATGCACTCCAAGATTGGAATGCTTGTGTACACACGAGGCTGGTGTTTGTACACACATATGCCAAATAAAAACAAACACGTGAAGGATATTTTTATCATTTCTGGGAATAAAATACACATGGAACAGGATGATCTAATTTATTACCAACCATGCACAAAGTTTTCAAAGTTTGAGCAGTTTTTGGTTTACCGAAACAATTCTCATCTGGTTGGGTCCCTCTCGTTCTTATTTTTAGGAATTATCAAAATTTTTATCTTTGCTATATTGTTTTTTATCACCACTAGTGATGTTTTCTCTCTGAAATGTATACCTGAAAGTAACATACTGTGTTTTTACAGTAATTAGTCTCAGTTGCACAAAATTTTATCTGTGTTATTTGCAAATGCGCAATTTTCATTGACATGCAACAGATCCCCCACGCATCTTTCAAAAATTCCAATCTGGATGCACTCTAGCACTCTATTGTATGAAGAGTGGCGTGCCCTTTTTCATACATAGGCTAATAAAGCTAATAAAAAAACTGTAAGCAACGTATAAAAACAATATACACCATTTACAGCTTTCGAAATGTGTGTTTTATATTCCATTAGGATCCAAGTTTAATATTCAAAACAGTTTCCTAGTATTAGCAAGTTGAACAACTGATTGTTTTTATTTATGAAATCTGGGCTTGTCGCCCTTGTGCCAGGGTGGAATCCATGTAAAGCTCACACCAGATATACGCCAATAAACAATAGAAAGACAATAGGAAATCATTAGTCCATGTCGGATATATCCAGCGTAAGCTACATGGATTCCACACTGGCCCTTGTGGTGCACCTGAAAATTACAATTTTTGCAAACTTTGAAAATTAATGATTGTTTGTGCATAATCAATTCTTCCAAAAAAACCAAATATGTGAAAAAATTTCCCTAAATTGATTCACAAATTAATGCTTTCTTTTTCTCAAACTGTTTTATCAAGCAGCCCCCCCACGCCCCCCCCCTTGTTTCTTACTCCATTCTGAAACCGAATGACTTCAACCTTGTGAATTTCTGAAAGCGAATTAAAATACTTGTAGCAAGCAACAGGTGAACCAAGAGGGCGATCTCCAGCCAATCAACATTGGTCTCAAAAAACACCTCCTGATCCATGTTCTAATTTTTTAACTCTGGAACATCAATTCATTGTGTCTGGAACATCAATACACAGAAAGGCAGAATTTAAGGATACTCATGAACTGGTTCACGGCAAGCACTTGAAAAACTTGTTGGAAAACTATATTTCTTTTTAGAAAAAATCAGGAACAGCCCACAACTGAAGATTAGACGTCAGAAAGATATTTTGGCACCGTTTTTGAAAGAAACTAAGCCCAGTCTACTCTTATTTACATTTTAACAAGATTTATTCAAACCATGCAGATTCTTGCTAGTGAACAAAGAGGGCGACACCACTCTACCTCTCAGACAGTTATTGGATCCTGACCCAAATCCCAAACAGAGATACCATAGTGCATTAGCATCACACATCTTTTATGTCACAGTCTCTGTGATTTTTTTGAAGAAAGTCTTTCATGAAAATATCTTCTATGAAATCAGACATGACTGCATTCTACATAGGGACAATTGGCTAAATTTTGGTCTGTTCAATGAACCTTATAACAGGATCATACACGTATATATGGTTTTTGTAATCATACAGACAATTTTAGTATTGTTGATTATTCTTACCATTTTTAGAGAAACTGTTCGCGTAAGGGAAACTTATATCTTACGAAAAAGCCTGGTGTTGTGAAAGCTAGAGCATTCAAAGCAACAGGAATAGAGAGATTAGTTACTGCGTTTTATCCTCCATGTAAAAGGAGACAGTGATATATCAATCTGGTACATCTCCATACATTATAAGGTATTAGTGTCGCTCTCTACATAGTTGGTTTGATTGTTCAATTAACCTTGGTACTAGGTTTTAATGTGGACATCTGTTTATTTACGTTTTTCAAATAAGGAAGCAAGATGTATGTGAAGTTAAAGCAATGCAGGGCTGGACAATTTGGTCAGGTTATTACTTCAGTTTATTAATTATTGTCTGGTCTCTTTCAGGTATACAGTTCAACACAGAGATTGGACAACATATTCTCAAAAACCCCCTTGTTGTCAACGGAATAATTGAAAAGGTTTGAAGTTTTTATCAAAATTTATTGATTGCAATTTACAAATATACACATAAATTGAACTATACATAGACAATATTATTTTACCTCTCCTAAATTTTTGCCGATGTGCTCTAATAAGATAAAAAGACAAATGGTCCACAGTGCAGTGATAGCAGGGAGTTGCACTGTGCTGTGCTCTTTTCCAACTTGAAACTTCGTCAAGAAGCAAATTGTCAGTTTAAACCAGAGGTCGGCAACCTTTATAAAACAGGGGGCCAAATTTGATTTTTGAAATGCATACGAGGGCCGCAACTCAAAATACAGTAAAATTTTAAGATATACCAATTCTACCTGACTACTAATCTAATCAATAAAAATGTATTTATTGGTAAATGTACTTTAACGTGGAAGCTGTACCTAAATACAAACGCAGAATTGTTGATGTTGGCAGCCGCAAGGTGCCTTCAAGGTGCTGATCAGTCACTCGAGATCGCAGTCGACTCTTCGTGTGCTTCATCTGAGTTTCCTTGCATTTCTGTTTCAATTCACTGGTACCCTGCAGCTCGATCAACTCCATTTGAAGATGGAAAGTAAACCAAGTTCCATTGTTTCAGATGACATTTGCAAATTGACAATGGCCTTGAAGCTTCTTGTTCAGCTTGTTCCAGTGACTAATCTAGGCAAGAATCTAAGATCACTGAATCAATATCGAGCTGACACTCGTGCATTGGGCCACATTATTTACAGGTTAACAGGGGCCTTCCGGGCCACACAAAAGTACCTTGCGGGCCGCATGTGGCCCGCAGGCCGCGGGTTGCAGACCCCTGGTTTAAACTATCAATAATAATGGAAATAATAGTACTGTTGCTGTCAAGGTTGCTTGGCACCATGCAGACATAACTTTTATGAAGTCTAATCCCAGAAAATGAGAAAAATGATGTTAAACCAATGGTGATGATGATGATGATGATGATGATGATGATGATGATGATGATGATGATGATGATGATGATGATGATGATGATGATGATGATGATGATGATGATGATGATGATGATGATGATGATGATGTTAAACCAATGGTGATGACCATTTCCCAAAATTCACGTTCCTTGGTTCCTTTTTCACCCTTGGGATTCCTTGGTTCCTATAAGTTTCAGGCAGAAACTCTGTCAGTTTGTTGGGGGAGAGTAAGAGTAAGATGGCAGTGAGAGCAAGAGGAGCGAAAGCGAAGTGTTGGACATTTGTCTACAAGTGTTTTCCAGATGATGTTATGGAGCGACTGGAACAGCGAAGCGAAGACTTCGAGTATCTTATAGCGTCGAAGGTGAACAACGAAGGAGAAGCACAATCCCTCCGTGGATATATCATTTTCAAATGTCAAAAAAGAATGAACAGCGTTGAAACAATACTCAATATTGAGGGGAGACCAGAGCGACTGGAAATAGAAATAGCTAGAGGCTCGTCGAGGAAGCACAAGGCTCAGTGCAAGTGTGGGCAAGGATTCTTTGAAATTGGAGAGAACAAATTCAAAGAAAGAGAGAAAAGTCAATTGGAAATGATGAGAGAAAGACGTATGCAAGAAGCCACCGAAGATGCCATGCTGGAAGAATTTGGGGACACCTGGATACATAGTCAGTCCTCAGTAGACAAAAGCATCAAGCGGCAGCAAAATGAGGAATCTAAGGAAAGGATTTTGGACAAGTTTCAAAATGCACTTCTACGACCATGGCAAGAAGAGGTTTTGCGTCTGCTTCGCTGCCAGGGGCCACGTAGAATAACGTTCGTTGTTGACGAAACAGGAAATACCGGCAAAACCTTTCTTGCAAAGTACATTCTGGCAACAAAAAGTTCTTTGTATTTCACCTCTACAACATTGAAAGACACTGCTTATGCCTGGAACGGAGAGCGATACATCGTGTTTGATGTCAGCAGGGAAAAATCGGCAAAGATAAACTATTCAACATTAGAGACTATTAAAAATGGCATTGTCTTTAGTAGCAAATATAAGTCGTCAACTAAAATTTTCCCTATTCCAATTATTGTATGTATGATGAACACTAGACCCTACGCTAAAATGATGTCCAATGATAGGTATCACATTGTCGTCTTAGATAAGTCCCCTGACCCCCTTGAACACCACATTTCATTTAAAATTGAAGACTTTAGGTATGCCCAGGAGCGTGTATCTGAATAAAAAACTTTGAAGTAAAATTGTGAATTTTTGTCGTTCTCTCCTTTAAAAGAATCATAAACGCCAGTGGAATGCTTACACGCCAGTAGCTTCAATTCTTAAAGCAAATATTACAATGCAGAGACTAGCCCGAGGAAGATTTGTAACCAGATAATATATTCAACCTTTTAAATTGCTTCAGTGGATAGGTTTGAGACAAAGGTTCGTCTTCCAGCCTTGAAATGAAACGGTCTTATAACCTCATTGTCATTTCATTGATAGATACAAAACCTTTCTTTTGGCTGGGCTTGCATTCATAAGTTTGCAAGGAAATCCAAGGCTTCTGACCTCGTTCCCATGTTGATGGGCTGGTGGTCTCGATATCGTTGTAACAACTGTTAATATAGAATGTACATATATCATTGGGCTGGGCTTCCATCCATAAGTTTGCAAGGAAATCCAAGGCTTCTGACCTCGTTCTCATGTTGATGGGCCGGTGTTCTCGATATCGTTGTAACAACTGTTAATATAGAATGTACATATATCATTGGGCTGGGCTTCCATCCATAAGTTTGCAAGGAAATCCAAGGCTTCTGACCTCGTTCCCATCTTGATGGGCTGGTGGTCTCGATGTCATTATCAAAGGCCACTACCTTGTCAAACTTTATAAGGAAAAGCCCAGCCCAACATTTTATAATGTATAGTATAGCACACCCATCCGAGATTAGAAGCCAACATCATTGCGAGGACGGAAGACCACTCATTGCCTTGTTAAACTTTATAGGAAAAAGCCCAGCCCAACATTTTATAATGTATAGTATGGCACACCCATTCGAGATTAGAAGCCAACATCATTGCGAGGACGGAAGACCACTCACTGCCTTGTCAAACTTTATAGGAAAAAGCCCAGCCCAACATTTTATAATGTATAGTATGGCACACCCATCCGAGATTAGAAGCCAACATCATTGCGAGGACGGAAGACCACTCATTGCCTTGTCAAACTTTATAGGAAAAAGCCCAGCCCAACATTTTATAATGTATAGTATGGCACACCCATCCGAGATTAGAAGCCAACATCATTGCGAGGACGGAAGACCACTCATTGAACTTTATAGGGAAAAGCCCAGCCCAACATTTTATAATGTATAGTATAGCACATCCATCCGAGATTAGAAGCCAACATCATTGCGAGGACGGAAGACCACTCATTGCCTTGT